TGATGTATTTAACAAATTAAAAATGCAGACATAAGTGTACACATTAGCTTTTGACTCTCACTGAACTAACAGCCTATCCCTCTGCGTGTTTGTGTACTCTGCTCATATTGTCTTCCATTAAATCGTTTTTTTTAACATTGCACTCAACAACAAACAAATCCTTCTGAACAAAAAAAGTAACGTCACCCCAATATATGGGCCTCGAGTTTGAGACCCCTGTTTTACACACAGTATATATTTGGCACTTTATATTTGATTTTACTTTCAAATATAAAGTGCTTCGAGGCGACTGTTGTGATTTTGCACAATATAAACAGCACAATAATAGATGAGCTGCTCCACCTCCTGAACTACAACCACCTCTATGGGAAAAGGGTTTGTGATACCAGGCACTCAGCGCTGTAAGCATGACTAACACGATGTTCATTTTTATTAATGTCTTTATTGATAGAAAGCTTTGCATCACTCTGCTGCATTCTTTGTTTCATTTATAATATATAAAGCCCATAAATCACATCATTGACTCTAAACTGTACAAAACACTTATGGAAACCATGATGAACCATTTCATCCAGTGTATTGAGAAAACATTGAACACCAGAATAAAAACAAAACTCAGTCCCATAAATCAGCCTTTAGCCAGGTTCTCCAACACGACCTCCAGCTTACTTGACCTACAAGTTTGGTCCATTAATCTGAAAGAACCAGTCAGTGCTGGTCACTTCAGATTGAAGTCAATCCCTCCTGGTCGAAACCGCGCCGATTCTTCCTGTTTGCTGATGTTTCCTCAGCTGCTCCTCTCCTAAGAGGATGCTGTGTGAGAGTCGTGAGCTCTCATGTGATTTTTCCACACCGTCGCATACGTAAATCTTTCCCCGCAGCTATTGCAGGTGTAAGGCTTCTCCCCTGTGTGGGTTCTCATGTGAACTATTAGCGGCGGCTTACTGCTGAAACCTTTCCCACATGTTTTGCAGGAATACGGTTTCTCACCTGTGTGGCTCCGCATGTGGACTTTCAGGTAGGAGCTGCTAGTGAAGCTTTTACCGCAGAGATCACAGGCATACGGCTTCTCACCTGTGTGCACAATCATATGTTTTTTCAGATGAGAGGTGCTACTGAACTCTTTTCCACAGGTGTCGCAGGAGTAAGGCTTCTCACCTGTGTGGGTTCTCATGTGGACTATCAGAGGAGGACAGCTAGAGAAGTTTTTTCCACACGTTTCACAAGAAAAGGCGCTTTCACCTGTGTGAGTCATCATGTGGTTCTTCAGTCCCGACGAGCGGCTAAATCGTTTCCCACACACTTTACAGGTGTATGGTTTCTCACCTGTGTGGATTCTCACGTGGGCTATCAGGTGAGTACAGCTTCTGAAACCTTTTCCGCACGTTTTGCAGGTAAACGGTTTCTCGCCTGTGTGCGTTCTCATGTGGACTTTCAGGTAAGCGCGACTACTGAAGCGCCTGGTGCAGGTTTCACAGGCGTACGGCTTCTCGCCTGTGTGCGTTCTGATGTGGTCGGCCAAAGTGGAGCTGTGAGTGAAACATTTCCCGCACGTCTCGCAGAAATAAAGCTTTTTACCTGTGTGAGTTCTCATGTGATTGTCCAGCTCTAAAGGGCAGATGAACCTTTCCTCACAGGTGCTGCAGGTGTAAGACTTCTTGTCTCTGTGGGTCCGCCTGTGCAGGAGCAAGCTGACGTTCTTAGTGAAGCTTTTCCCGCACGTCTCACACGAGTACAACCTTTCACCTTTGTGAGTTCTCATGTGACTCTTCAGTCCCGAAGACTGCCTAAATCTCTTTCCACAGGTGTTGCAGGGGTAAGGTTTTTCACCTGTGTGGGTTCTGGTGTGGACGGTCAGCGAGTCACAGCTGCTGAACCCTTTACCACATGTTTGGCAGGAATACGGTTTCTCGCCCGTGTGGCTCCTTGTGTGGATTTTCAGAGACACTGCTTGCCAGAAACGTTTCCCACAGGTGTTGCAGCAGTGAGGCTTCTCACCTGTGTGGGTTCTCATGTGGCCTATCAGTGACGAGCT